ATATGCTATCTAGTAGTACTACTACTACTACTACTAGTAAGTAGTACTACTACTGTACTAACGCAAGTAACGCAGTGCCTGTAACGCTGAGAAGTGCTATGTCCCCATAGCCAATGGCCATAGGCCACTGCCGAACGTCCCTGGCGTACGGTCCGGGTATCCGGGTATGTTAAGTCACACGCTTGATTTATGATGCTCTGCCTGGTACTATCATATGCCGTTCTGTACCTCGCCTACTCACTAACGAGTCTAGGGAGTCGCTACGCCTACTCCCTAACCCCTAACCATATCAGTAGTTACCAGGAGTACGCTTCCGCGTATACGGACCTGTACCCAGCGCGTACGTTCCTGCAATGAAATCATGCACGATTACAATTTTGCGTTCTGTTTCTGTTTACCGTTGCCATCTCTCGAATTTTCTCGCGGTAGCGCGAGACATCTGTCACGGTGCAGCAATGCATACCACGCACCGTAGAAATCAGGTCAGAGTGTAAACGCAGATGCTCATAGTCATACTAGCGTAAACAGCAGTGTAGTACTAATGCCACGTGAAGTCTGTTATTATAGAAGCTTGTGGATTGCCAGTCAGATAGTAACAGGGGAATGACAATGACAGAAAGTGCTCTGAATTATTGACATAAAAACTCAATAATATTTACCAAACAGAATTGCACGCCCTTTTGTTTTAATTATGTTCGCTTGTTTGAGACGCCATTTGTGATTTTTGAAAGTCTTGACTCGAAAAAATTTGCTGCTGGTATGATGTGGTCAAATCAATTTGTCTATGCTATAACTACATAAAATGATGGTGTTTTGAATGTTGGTGTAATCAGTGATATTTTCGCTGTCAGGTGAGACTATATTCAGCTATATTTAGTTTTTCTGGGCAAAATTCTCGCAATGATTGTTTTAAGATGTGACAATTTCAAAATTAACCGCTTCGAACAGAAAATTGGCGTGGCTTACTGCCGCTTAAGATGATGTCACGCAAGTCACGCATCGAAACATCTTTGTATGTTCGCCACCGCGTTTACCTAATATATACATGCCCCAACTTGGCTGACTCACAGTTTTGTCCATGGAAGGCTTTCGGGCCTTAGAATAATGTAAGATTATAAAAACTTTTAGGGCACAATTTATTGGTTTAAAGCTAGAGTAAATTAATTTTGTACATGTGGTCATTCTAGGCATTGTCATCTAATTTTGTCTTAACTACTTATAATCTGTTTCCTCAATTTTTAATAGAAAATATAATGACCAGAAATCAAATTATATCAACTTCATTTGAAATTTTAAATCATACCAGGGTTTTTCACTGACGTGAGTTTTGAGTTGGCAAACAAGCCTGTTTTCCTTAACAATTGTCAGACATTTTCATTGCATACCTGTGAGGCAAATCATGAAATGAAAACAGAAGTAATATTAAAATTGAGACATGGTGGGAGATTACGTCGTAGGTCAACAGTTCTAAGCGGATGTTATAAACACAGCCAGTGTCTTACTCAGAATTTTTTAAGCCATCCAAGAAAGCCATCCATTTTATTTGCCGGCCAAGTGGAGTATAACGATATATGTTTTCTAATAGCTTAGCACTCGGGAGGTGAGTAACTGCAAGATAAAAATCAATAGTCTGCTGAGTGAACTCGTGCTACAGATTTATGCAGCATTTATGTGATATTTGCTTAGATGTTCTTGTGGCCAGGTTGGGAGTGACCCCTTTAGTTGATGTATGTGCTAGATAGGTCTATGGTGGAGCAAAGCGCTGTATGGTAGAGCTAGACTGAGCCTAACCTGCTCATGGTCTGTAACACAGTTAATCATGGGTACTGTTGAATCAGAGTCGTCTATACAAAGTTATGCATGACCATACTGCTTTTGTTATATGTAAACATTCTTATGTAGCCTACATACTGTGTAATTAATAGTTATAGGCTAAATATTAAAATCCTAGGCATCAATATCTTTTATAAGTTTTATATAAGATCAAGAGCATATAAAGAAGGAGAGCATACAACGGCGAAATGCTGAAACCATGTTGCAGTATTAGTCGAATTAATAAACTTTCCCCGTTTTATTTTGATGATTCTTTGCAGTATTATTGATCAGCTGTCCTACCTTGTTAATATAAAACAAACCGCATGTCCCTACGATGCCTCTACGCTGAAATAATGAGCGTTGAAAATCTGGTATTTTTGCCGAAAACCAACTCGAGATCAGTTTTACTGCGACTACCTCTCGTTTTGTATACTGTATGTTGCTTCCGGTCGCTGCTGTGTAGCGCTAACTTGATACGTTATTACTACAGCGTTACTACATCCAGCGTAAGGGGCGGGTCATCACCATGGCGATAAATAACAAGACGTTTTTGTGGAGTAATGGCTGCGTCAATGACTGGAAATGCGAGAAAAGATAGTAGAAGGAAAATAAATTTCATTGTCAATGAATGACGGAAACACGCGAGGTTTCCCGAAGCTATCGCCAGAACGAGAGACAGTCGCAGCCACTACGTATCTTGAGTCGGTTTTCGGCAAAAATACCAGATTTTCACCGCTCATTATCTCAGCGTAGAGGCATCGTAGGGACAAGCGGTTTGTTTTATATTAGCAAGGTAGGAGAGCTGATCAATAATACCACAAAGAATCATCAAAATAAAACGGGCAAAGTTTATTAATTCGACTAATACTGCAGCATGGCTTCAGCATTTCACCGTTGTACGCTCTCCTTCTTAATACGCTCTTGATAAGATAAATATCCTAAATAAGTTACTACAAGCTGCACTTGTCTTTTCACATAAATGGTATATATCTCAGGTGTAGAAATTAACTTTTGAACTCGGGAGTCCGACGCCCCACCCTCAAAAACAGGGAGTCCGCAGCAAAATGAGGGAGTCCGCAGTCTGAGGTTTAAAATTAAAGATATTGACAATAATGCATGTGCTTATTTTTAAGATTCATGCAGCTGCACGTCTGCCAAATTTTCTTTGGATATTAGCTGAAAAAATACGGTAATTCCGCGAGGCCCTGCTCTGGAACAAACTAGTTAGTATGGCAGAATTTTCAAGGAGTCACACGAACTTCTGCATATATGTCAAATCAGGGAGTCCAACAGTAAATCAGGGAGTATTTGACTTCGGACTCCCGTTAATTTTGCACCCTGATATCTCTCTCTCTCTCTCTCTCTCTCTCTCTCTCTCTCTATATATATATATATATGGTTACATCATTAACATTTATGCTCATGTCCCCTGTTAAATTACCAGCACAGAGAAATCAGCAGTGCATATATCTGCGCATGCCAGCATGAGTCGCTGTGCTGATCATAGTCAAAACGCAGCTAAAGTACACATGGACTGTGTTCAATTATTAGTTGCCCGATTCTCAATCTTGCACTTTGCCCCCAAGGAGATATTATGCAAAAGGTGTCCATATAATATACAATCAACATATATATATATAGTCCAGGGGTTGCCCTTGACTTTTTTATCAGGTGGCCGGCCAGGCCACTTGAGTATGAGATTCAGGTGGCCAAATGGATTTTCAGGTGGCCCGGTTGCTACATTTATTAAATAATTTATTTGTATCCTAACTATGGGTAATGTGTTTTGGCAAATAATCGCAATAACATAGCTAGATTACGACAACAACAAAGAAAGAACAAAACCCTGACTGAGTTAAATATGTTCCCAAATATTAAAAAGCTTTCAAATTCTCTGGCAGTATCTTTATTAAGTAGCAGAACTCATGTCATTAAGATGTCAATCAAAACTGTCCTTCAATCATTCAATGTCAGTGTGACTGTCATCTGAACCTTAGACCTGATGAATCAGAATCAATTTCTGACATGGGGTCAGACCCATCAGAGTCTAATCATAAAATCAAATCATATCGTAATCAAAATCAAAGATGAAACAACACTCTGGTATGTACGCACTTGTCTTGAACTCGTGGAGAAATGAATTGCGCAAAGAACCCACACAGCTGATGAGTAGCGAATAGATTGCACGTGCACTACTGTTTTGATTTAGGCCAAGTAAAGCATTGTTTCTTGTTGCGATTCACATTCTCAGAATCTGCTTCCAGTAAACCACACGTACACACACACACGCGCGCACGGGCACGCACACACACACACGGGCACACGCACACACACACACACACACACACACACACACACACACACACACACACACACACACACACACACACACACACACACACACACGCACACACACGGCAATTAGCAGAGCGTCCCCTTGCGCAATCATGCGTGTACGTGTCGCAAGAACTCTGTGTGAGATGGATGTCCGGACGCGTAGCCTAGCGGCTCCTCGTCCGGCGGTCGCATAGCCACGGCCTTATTTTTATTGGTGGCCAGGCGGGCCACCAACCTGACAGTTTCAGGTGGCCCGACGCCGTTTCAGGTGGCCATTGGCATTTAAAGTCGAGCCCTGTCTAAGTCTCAGACTCACTGCAGATTAGTTATAGTTATAATTACAAGAGAGCTTTTATAAACAAGTTAATGGTAACTTTAGGTAGAAATTGTAATATTTACATGTTGCTGAATCAAATTAACAAATCCCTTTAACAAAGGGTCGTATGAATTAGGTTCCACCTTAGTAACTGGTTTAGACTATCTATATATATAGGATAGTGGTTCGGAAGATACCAGGATTAAGCATTGTACAGTACAGATTGCTAGGAGTAGGAGTGTCTGCAGTTTAGAAAGCAGGCTGCTAGTTATACAAACCATATTTTTAATTTTTATTCAAAATATTTGATCATCACAGTTTTATAGACGTTGGTTAGGCAACATATCTAATGTATATCCAATTCCAATACCATATAATCACCTTGTTTGATTCATGATTGTCATTGTCATTTAGTTTGTTTTTTACTTAACTATATAGTATATTATAGTATATATATATATATATATATATAATATAGATGTATCATAGTCAGTATGTGTATTGATAATTGATATCACATTGCTTTCCATAGATCTTAGAGCTGAAAATAGCGAGAGGAATACGAGATGGCGGCCGCTCCACTCTACGAAGAGCTGCGCCTCCATGTCACGCAGGATAGGTTCATCATTGAGCCGCCCGACTCCTCGAAGCAAGTGCTGGTCATCGACCGAGTGAGCCAGGACATCAGCCTAGAGTCCGACAGCAGCATCGCTACGGCGACGACGACTAGCCGGCAGATCTTCGGCGTGCTCGGCGTCGTGCGGCTCCTCGCCGGGCCATACCTGATCGTCATCACAAAGAGGTCAAAGGTCGGCGAGCTGAACGGCGACGCCATCTACCGCGTCGACGAGACGGACATGCTCTCGTACAAGCGCACTTTCTTCCACCTCACCGAGCAGCAGAACCAGGACAACAAGACGTACCTGTCGATGGTGCAGGCCGTGCTGCAGATGCCGTCGTTCTACTTCAGCTACGCGTACGACCTGACGCACAGCCTGCAGCGGCTGCAGAACACGAGCCCCGACTTCCGGCAGATGGCGCTGCATGAGCGGGCGGACGCGCGTTTTGTGTGGAACGCGCACCTACTCCGCGAGTTCGCCGACCAGCCCGAGCTCGGCCGCTACACGCTGCCCGTCATGATGGGCTTCGTGTCGGTGCGCACACTGACGATCAACAAGCGCGCGTTCAGCTGGGCGCTCGTCAGCCGGCGCAGCTGCTTCCGCGCCGGCACGCGCTACTACGTGCGCGGCGTCGACGCCGAGGGACACGCGGCGAACTTCGTCGAGACGGAGCAGATCGTCGACTGCGACGGCGAGCGCGGCGCGTTCGTACAGACGCGCGGCTCGATCCCGCTCTACTGGTCGCAGCGGCCGAACCTGCGCTACAAGCCGACGCCGGTGCTCGACCCTGCGCGCGCGCACGCCGACGGCTACAACCGGCACCTCGACGCGCAGGTGGTCAGCTACGGCCGCCAGGTGCTGATCAATCTCATCGACCACAAGGGCCCCGAGAAGCTGCTCGAGCGCTCGTTCGCGGGCCTCGCGAGCGCGAACGGCAACAGCTACGTGCGCTATGAGACGTTCGACTTCCACCACGAGTGCCGCAAGATGCGCTGGGACCGGCTGTCGATACTGATGGAGCGCATCGCTGACGACCAGCTCCGCCTCGGCTACTTCCACGTGCTGCGCGGTGGGCAGGTCGTGCGCACGCAGGAGGGCGTCTTCCGCACGAACTGCATCGACTGCCTCGACCGCACTAACGTCGTGCAGAGCATGATCGCGCGGCGCTGCCTCGAGGAGCAGCTGACGCGCTTCGGCGTGCTCGCCGACGGACAGACGCTGCGCGACTTCGACATGGCGACGTTCATCTACAACAACGTGTGGGCGGACAACGCCGACGTGTGCAGCATACAGTACGCGGGCACGGGCGCGCTGAAGACGGACTACACGCGCATGGGCAAGCGCACCTTCTACGGCCTCCTCAAGGACGGCTGGAACGCGTCGATTCGCTACTTCATCAACAACTTCGCCGACGGCTTCCGGCAGGACGCGATGGACTTGTTTCTCGGCAACTACGTCGTCGAGGAGAACGAAGGCATCACGACGCCGTCGCCGCTGCAGACCGAGCGCACGTGGAGGATACTCGCACTGCCTCTCGTCTTCGTCGCAGCGCTCTCCATGTGCATCATCAGTCTGCTGATTCCTTCTGACGACCTCCGGGAACAGTTGATATACATTCTGTTTTGGGGAGCTGCAAGCGTCGGCACGCTCTTCTTCATCCTGCTCTACGGGGTCGAGTTCGTAGACAAGCCGAAACTTGCGCAAGCTAAGCTAAAAACGGAGTGATGGCAGCGATGCTAGTCATCTTCACTTCTAGTGTATGTCACTGTCTTTAATCATGCACATTCTTTATATATAGGTTCATGGAATAAATTAATTTAGGTTAATTAAGAATTCATTGTGTATACATGTGTGAAGTGACTGTTTACAACACTGGCAGATTATATTGTGTGATGCACTTTTTCTAGACTAAGTGCATGTTGCTGCAATAATGATAAATTATTACGTTTAATGTACTCAAGTCTATATCGGTTTAAAACTCTACTAACCAAGCCAGTTTAGTCAACAATGAAACGCCAATAGTTTAATATTTAAATATAAGAAACTGATTAATATTTTGGTAAACTACGAGTACATAGCGATTAATTTGACATACGATTTATAAGGTACTATATTGTACTTCCTTTGTAATTTGTCATCCAGTGTGGCACTCACTGTAGGCATTACAGAAGCTTTAATGAAATTATTAGCGAAACGTTTCTGCCATGCTTACAAATCATAGGTATGCTTTGTAATTGCATGCTGTTGCTAGCCTATAGCCTTGTATAATAATAGGCCTCATCAAACAAGTCGGAAATAAAGGATGAATATAAATAATCATATTCTTTTTGTTAAGATAGCATCTTTTACAAATCAGCCCAGGTGGGTCAGCCTAGCTGGAAAGGAAACCAATTTTCATGCATATAGCAATGATTCGTGTACATACCCATGTAAGGAAATGAAAGTCTGGCGGGCAGCCGCTGGTGGGTGTGGTCAGTGGTGTCATTTGAAAGGCACCCCAAAATTGAGCTAGATTAGCTGGAGAGGCGCATGCGCCCCACCACTCAAAAATTCTGGCAGTGTCCATTCCTGATACCTGGGACCATGCCGAACATTTTCCAATAGGGGGTTTCCTCT